GCTGTAAAGTAATTTTCTTTGTAATTTATGGTATCTGTATCATTTGGTAATCTCTTCTAACAGGATATATCAAGTAACTAGGGGTCAGGTAGTGTTATTGAAACCGCCTGTACTGTAAACTGTTACGTACATTTGCTAGTAGTGGCAATTAGTTTTATCTCTATAGTGAAACAACATACATGGACATATATTGAAATAAACTTGTTTGAAAGTTCAAAGAAATGATATTCAAGTACTGAAAAGCTTTCTTACTATCATATTTACAGTAATGTTCAAATGCGCCCACACTGGGGTGAACGAGAGTGACCACCAACAGGGGTGAGATAGTTTACGGAACACGTACAAAGTTCACACTGCTAACCCCATGGTTTAGTCAGCACAATAAACAAAAGTACGGCTGCATTGAAACATAAACATAAACTTGAAATAAAAATATATTTATGAAACAAAATTAAAATGTTTTTATGTACATATATAAACATGAAATCCTAGTTAAAAATAAAAATACTCATTAGTTGTTTAGGTTTATTTACAAATGTTATTTTCGGGTCTGTTTATTACTTGAAACCATAAGGAGAGTATGTGATTATTAAAAAAATAAAAAAAAATAAAATTTGAATTTTATGGACAATATAAATTTTTTGTGATTTCAAAATAATGTACTAAAACATAAAAAGTAATAAGTTCAAATCTGGAACAAATATAAATATCGTAATAATTTCTTATAAATACCATTTCCTAATGTAATTTTCCAAGATATTAAAGATCATAATGTAAAATAACTAAATTTATCAAAAGTAACAGGCTTTATGTTTCTTAAAGTATGTGCACTTATGAAAGTTCTTGTGAAGTTTGAAACAATTTCATCCACTAGTTTTATTGTTGGAATGAGATATAGCAAGACTTGCATTGGCTACTAAGAAAGTTAGTAGCTGGTGGTCATCGGGTTAAGGTGGTCAGTGATATGTTCAACAGAAGTAATAGTGAATATTAACTCTCTCCACACAGGTTCAGTCAAATTAACCGACCTTGTAACCACTTTGTATTTGTTATGGTTTCCATATTGTAACGTTTAATACAGTATGTATATGCTCACAAAATTTGGCAGACTTTTAGTAAACATTACAAGTCTTGTACATGAAAAATCATATTTTTTTAATGAAGGATTTTTCCTAATCTTTTTTTTGACTAGTCCTAGTGCAAAGGTATTTTCATGTTAAGATTAAAAATATTTTTCTTTGTCTCAAATTTCATTTGTATAACCTATAAAACCTCCTAAATACATATAAAACATTTTTTTCAGTAAAACTTTTTGTTTTATCTGTTATTACCTATACCTCAACAATATACTTGATTCTTCAGCCTGTAGACAAATCATCAAAGTATAGTGAAAAGTTGTAAAATCAGAAATAAAATATGCCTTTTTTTCTTTATTATTGATCGTGAAGTTTCAAAGTACTTCCCTTGAGAGTTTGAAGTGCTAAGTGTTTAACATTTATTTTCTGTTGATTTTACTGTCAACGACTAAAGTAGAAACCTGCTGAAAATAAAGCAGTAAATTGCTGCTTGTGTCAGTAGACTGTTTACATGACACCATAATGTAATACCCTTGAAAGCAACAAAGCACACACGAAGATAATGCTGACTTAACCACTTGTCCGAGAACAGGATGTCTAATATATTGGATTATATATATCCTAAAATTTTTTAGTAAAATGTAGAGTAATCATACTGCACTTAGAATCAGTGAAAATATTTATGCCGACAACAGGATGTGGAATTTATCGTCTTATGTATGTATCCTACAGTGTTTACAAGAAATATTCTCCAGAGTAATATGTCTGTACTTTGAATCTGTCAAAACATTTATCATATGGTTTGATGCCGATACAATAAGCATTGAATATTGGTAATCCTTTTGGGTTGTTTGGAATTTAGTGGCATAGGTATACAAAGATGTTATTTGAGCACATGCTTATAAAAATCCTATTCCCCTTTTCAGAATACTTATTCATAACCAATAAAAACTCAGTTTCCAGTACTACCTGTCACACTCATTTAGTTTTGGTTTTAGTTTTGCAAGCCTTCTAAGTCTAGTCTTCTTTATAATGTATAACATTATTTCCATGACATTTGTAAGGTATTTTAGCTTTCTAAATGTTTTGAATAAACTTGTTTTATGTTATCAAGTTTCTAATGATGTATAATTTGCTTTTATTTTACCTCAGTTTAGACAATTATAATAACACGTTCAGTAGGCATAACTCTGTATTGGCCTACAAAATACAAATCTCTAACTATAATACAGGGATATTTTGGCTACCATACATTACATATGTGTATGTTTGTCTATATATATGTGTGTGTGTGTGTGTGTGTGTGTATATATATATATATATATATATATATATATATAT